GAGTGGGCTCGGTGAGGATGCGTGAGTTTTGATCTCTGAGCCGCTTTACCTCCAGGCGCATGAGCTGGATCTTACGCCTTGTCTCCTGAGCCTCATCAAGCACAGCATCCATCTCATCGCTGTTGTCAAAAATGATTGCCTGCTGATGGAAGTCATCTTCCAAGTCCACATTGCTGAACGAGTCTGAGACAGACTCTGCATATTCCTGCTCCTCTTGGTTGCTGCTAGACTCAGAGAGAGCCTGTAGGTCAATCAGTCTGTCCCTCATGGCTGCCTTAAGTGAGAATGAAAGAGAAAAGTGAATGGCATACCTAATTATACTCTTATTACACATTCATTAGCATTTTTGATTTTGGATTGGCTGCACATGGTGTGATGAGTACTGAAGTATCCCTCACTGTTCACATAACCACCAGCATGTATGTCTTGCATTCAACATTTACAGTGCTTCCAGCTGCCAGTGTGAATGACATATAGCCAGCTGATGTCAAGCAATGCCTCAGCTTGGGTGGAAGTTACCAAAGTTTACTAGCTAAAGTGTTGATAAGGTAGCTTGCATGAAAGTAGCAAGTACACAGTTTCAGGAAAAGTGTGCTGTAGTTAAGTAATTACAAAAACTAGGATAATTTAAATCACTTGTTTGTCTTGTATGGTTGAGGGCGTGGCTAACCTTATACCTAATCGTAACCTTTACCATTTTATTTTGAAAGTTATTGAGAAGATAATTAACCTAACCATTAACCATTTTATTTAACCAATATTAAAGGGTTTTACATTTCTGCATAATTACAGAGTTAAGATGTAAACAAAGTCATTTGGAGTAGTTTGAGGTGAATTGCTTCATTCATAGAGAAACATGATCATATCATATGAAATGCTTATAAATACACTGCCTTATCTGAGACACTGTATTTATGATAGTTTAGAGAAGGTTTTGGCTTAAAACGTATTTAAAATCTATTCATGGTCCCCAAAGAAAACATACTTTTTCAGATTTACCACTATTTTACCATTACATATAAAAAAAAGTGTGTAGGATCACTGATGGTTTTGGCGAGTAAATAAAATGGCTGTATTTGTGTTGTTGACATCATGGCCCCTAGTTCCTATCACCACCACTGTGAAGAAAACAGAGTTGACAAATTTCTCTACAACAAAGCATTTCACATCAAACCACTCAGAATGACTTTGTTTACATTTTAAACGTTTAATTATGCAAACATTTTGGAAATTATGTGGATTTTACTTCTAATGTGAGCTCACAAACATTTGGGTAGCTACTCAAGTAGCTTGCTCTATATCTGGCTAATATTTGTCCAAGCTGTGGTCTTTTTCTGCCCAAGTTGAGACTTTATCCTTTCTGGGGCTTCATCTGCAGTTTTGCAGCTGGACACTACTGGCCAATACTTTAAGAATAACTTAGCTTGCTCATAGCTCGGTGATGATACTTGAAGCACCCAATGCTCTCTAAAATATAACTCACTACAGAAATGAATATTCCAAAATGTGATTTTTTTTTTCATGATATATATATATATATATATATATATATATATATTAGACATTGCGCATTTACACCTACAAGAAATATCAGTTCTGTATTATCAGCATACATACATATGATGTTGATATTCTTTTTGAACCTCTTTATATGCAAAGTTATTGTAAATGGATTTACAGCTTTTCAGAACAAACTCTTCAAATGCAAATTGACACCTGTAATGAAACAAAAGCTCAATTTGTATTGCCTTACAGGTAGACAGCGTCAGGTTTTTTCCTGTCTACCACTGAAAGAGTGCAGTCACAGGACAAGTTCTTCTTAGCAGAACTATTTGAGGGTGGCGTCACTCACCAAACAAGTTTGGATGAATAGTTTAGATCTTAGATCTTACTGACATTCTTGCATGAAGACACTTTGGTTAGGAAATTCCTGTAGAACATATATTAAAAGTATATATATTTATAAAAAAGTCTGGGTGCAAAATCTATGTGCTACTACATCTGTTGAATAATAAAGAAATGAGCAAAATCATTTATGTATTTTACCTCCACAGGATAAAGAGAACAACTGAAGTCCAGAACAAAAGTCAGAACCTTGAAAACAAACTTGTAAACCCACCAACAGTCACCTGAATGTTTGAATTCAGTGTTGAATGAACACCTACAGTTTTATAACGATCATTTGTGTCCAGTTTGGACTTGAGTTAACACTATAGATTCTGATGTGTAAAATATAATTACATAAGATGCTAATAATAATCGCTCTGAGTCACAGTTTTAGATGTTTTATGTTTCTGTATATGAACAGTTTAACTCTCCACTTCACCAGCGCTGCTAACGCAATAAAATACAGCTGATCATCCTATAAGACCTAACATTTAGCACCACATTACCTCAGTGGTTTTCCCGCAGATTCTCAAATGTGAAGAGCTCGAAGTCAGGCCATATCTTCAGTGACTCAGGTTTGTGAAGAGTAGGGGGAACGTCATTTAACAGAGCGCGCAAAGGAATGCGCGTTCCCAGGACGCACCTCTTACGCACGACGCGCACAAATAGCGCCACTGAGCTGGTTTTGTGTGACACAGCAGGCTCGGCGATGTCTTTCTTCTGGTATGAAGCTTAACTAAGAATAGATTATAAAGACGTACACAATATGGATAAATGTCAAGTTCCCATTATAAACATAGCAGGCACTCATCTGCTCCACCTAGTGTGAGGCTTCCTTAGGTAAACTGTAAAAATGGTGCCTTAACTTTAAACAGTAAGTCAAAAACAAGGTTGTTTAATGTACATAGTGCCTTTTGGTGTCATAATCTAAGAAAATCAACTTGCTGCAATAATTTTAAGTGAACTAACAGTAAATTAAAATAATAATTCATATCCTCTATACTCTCAGAAAAAAGATGAGTACCCCTCTTGTCACTGGGATGGTACCCTCAAGGGTACATTTCAGTACCTTTGATCAGGGAACATAATTGTACAATAATCCATTAAAATGCTATTTTCTAAGTTGTAATTGACTCCACACACCCCGTCTCTAATGTTACAACCGAATGTCATGAGGATTAAATAATATTTTACACAGACTTATCATATATGCCTGAGCAGAGTGGCTTTTTTCTAAGGGTCTGTAACAGCTGTCTTCCATATTTTAAACATCATCTGTAAATCAGTATCTCCAAAATAGTAACTTTACAGGAGAAGGAAAAGGGGTTATTTACTGTTAATGTAAGATAATGTAAAGACATTTTATTCCAGTTAATTTTGGAGGTTTTATATGGGTCCATTCATCATGAAATGTTTACACGTTGTAAAGGGCACCTGATTTGCTCAAACAGAAAAAAAAAAACAGAAAAAACTTAATATTCTGTCGACATTTTTATGATTTCAAGCTAAACGTTTTTGTTCTCCAACTCAAACTACTGGGGGAAAATGATTTTCTGTCGAATTCCTGTATTGTCGTTCTTAAACTCGGACACTAGGGGGCGGTTCCAGGCTCCGCACCGTGCTGCCCTCTGCAGGTGATCAACAGTAGCGTCCTACCTGCGTTTTAGGGCGGAGGGTAAAGTGAGATCTACGTGAGCTGAACTTCCGCACTGTGAGCAGCTGGAAGGTTGTGTTGTCTGAGTGTGTGGCGCAGCTGCAGCTTTACGCGCGTGTAAAGTGGGTGTTTACAGTCGTTGTATGCCACAGTAACGTGTAGTATTCCTATGAGGAAGACCTTCAGAAGACAGTTCGTCTGGTGGTGGGCTTTATGATGACCATCTACTGAGCACTGTAAAACAGGTAAGGCCCTCAGTGCATATTCATTGGTACCGTAGCAAAAATATTGCTACTATCATTACATGGGAACACAAAGTGTATTTTAAGCTCTGTTGATTGAATTTCTATAGAGCTTGTTGCTGATCTGGAGCTGTGGATGTTATTTTCAGTCTAACTTATGAGCAAGCAGCAGAGAACTGGATCCAACGGGCTTAATGAATAAATAAATAAATGAAACCACATGTCAGACTGATGATGGAGAAACTAAACCTTTAGGTGAGACGTTAGTCTGATTAGTCCACAAACGAGTCTGTCTTGTTTGGCAAGGTGATCACATGCCAACTTTCTCAGAGGCAGTTTAAAAACACCTGTGAGTGTCGCTTTGTTTTTACCCCTGTCCAGTTCACATTTTTATTCTGTTCCAGCAGTAAACCTGGGCTTGGTTGTAGAGCAGTAGTCCTGAAGGTACCCTATACCTTCCCTATTCCCTGCTCCATCATGCTCACTTTAACTCAGAAAGGGTTTGTTATGTAGCTGATAAGGGGGAACCACTGTTGTAGACTGTTCATTAGCTTAAACAGGAGTTAAGGTCTACAAAAAATGTGGACTGTTAAGGGGTCCCCATAGACTGGACTGAATACCCCAGAACACCACACACAGGCTGTACTACATACTGTAACTATTAGAAGAAATCCTAGTAACTCTGTTTAATCTCTATTTTTTCCAATGAATGCAGGGAGCCAAAGGACAGCTCCGATACAAACTGTATACCTACAAGTTAAAAAAAAATCAAAATATAAGTTTTATTGCTGATCAAAAATTGCATCAGTTAATCAGTGACATACACCATATAGTAACTTACATTTTTATTCAAAATATAATACAAGAACAAAAAGCCAAAGAGATAAAAAATAAGCTATAAAAAGTAGTGTAAAACAGTCTCTGAGTAGATGACCTCAGAGGATTATAATGGTGCAACTGGAGTGAGGAAGTGCAAAGGTCCAGTGCAGAATACAACTATATACAGAGTTATTAGTTTGTGTAGTCAGACTGCAATGTTTATATAGTACCTTACTGCTCTGTAATGGACCTTTGCACTACCTCATTCTAGCTTTTGTGTAGTTGCACCATTATAATCATCTGCAATAATGTTTATATATATATATATATATATATATATATATATATTTTATATCTCATTGCCTTATTTGTCTTATGATAAAAAGACCTAGTAATTAGCAACCTAATCATTATCACTATTATCTGTATTGTGTTAAAGGTTACTAATAATTATATAACTGTTACATATGCACTCATAAATTCTACCATTTGAATTATTAAATATTACTACTTAGTGATGTACAAATGATTTTTTTATTATATAAACCTAATCATTAATTACAATCTATTAATAATTATTTAGCTAATAATTACTGATAAAGTTAATGTATTATACAACTTAAAATAGGAATCCTTATTACATACAATTTATAGACATTATACATAACTACTTAGTAATTGTTTGCCTTCTGTTGTAGATGACTTAGTTTTAGATAACTTTTTAGTTGTTTATTGTCTTACTATCAGACTCATTGTGCTATCCCTCCAGTCACAACCGTGACTGTTCACGTTTGCATCTCCTGTGAGCATGATATAAATGTGGCATAACAATCTTATTAAAATAACAATAACAGACCCTTCAAAGATTGTATGTACCAAATATGGCAGTTGTACCTCTATTCTAACATTTTACTGACTTCCTTTTGTAGAGTATTTCTCTGGTGCATGCTAGAAGTAACACCAACATAAACATTTTCACATGGAATCAAGACAATCTATAATTTATAGTTTGCCTTTCAGTAAAACCAAAAGCATCAACAACTCATATTTTATATTCATAATTAGTGGGATTGAATGGGTTCATTGATTGTACATGACTGTAGTGTTTCAACTTCAAATAAATTCTCTGTCTTCAGATTTTCGCCACTATGAGGGACAGACTAAGCCACCTTCACGCTTTGTCCCAGTCAAATGGCCGTGTGGAAGAGCTAGAGAGTGCTGCAGCTTACCTTCCCTCACATAACACTCATGGAGAAGCTCCTCAGCAGGACAGTAATGACCCCGAGATAGAGGCCGTGTTTGACGAGGCTAATGGCATTCGGCGTGATGTTCAGCTCATCATCCTGGACGTGAAGCACCTCAAAGAGCAGAATGCTCGCATTTACACTGAGCTTCCAAACTCCACACCGACTGCTGTTCAGCAGGACTCCAGTGCCATCGCTGCTAAAATCAAGGCCAGTGCTGAAGACCTGCTGGTGCGTCTACGGAAGATGGATGAGCATGCCAAGGAACTGGAGAACCAGCACGGCGCTAACGCAGCCGTTTCTAGAATTGCCCGCACTCAGTACGCTGGCCTGAGCAGCAGCTTCCGAGAAGCAATGTTAACATACAATCAAGCTGAGATGAGCCACAGGGAGACGTGCAAACAGCACATCCAGCGGCAGCTGGAGATCGTGGGCCAACAGGTGACAAGTGAGCAGATTGAGGAGATGCTGGAGAACGGCCAGTGGAACGTGTTTAGTGTAAATATGCTCTCGGAAGGGAAAACGGCACGCTCTGCACTCAACCAAATTGAAAGCAGACACCGTGACCTGCTGGAGTTGGAGAAGCGCATCAAGGGCATCCATGAACTGTTCCTGGATGTGGCCATGCTGGTGGAAGAACAGAGCTCAATGATTGACTACATTCAGACAAACGTCCAAAACACCGATGCAGCACTGAAGGGTGTCCTGATGAAGCTTGAAAGAGCTAAAAGGCATGACCGGAGCAATCCCTTCAAAAAGATTTTCTTTTGGAGGCGTTAATTTTGTATTTTGCTTTGTTTTGCTGTGATTGTATTGATTACTATTTAAGAGTTTCATTGCTTATACTTTAGACACTTGAATATTGATACTTTGCATGAATATCTGTCTTTGAAGCAGCTGGCCAAACACATACTATTAAATCTTAATAATTTAAACAAAAAAACAGAACATATTTGTGTGTGTTTAATAAATTGTGAATGTTAATATTCTCCACTTTTGCATGTTTGATTTTTCTAAGATAATTAGTATATTACAAAGAGTGAATAATACCTGCTCAATGCAAAATCCAGGGCACAAGCGCTTTTTGAACAAAGTGTGCCTTGTGTTCATATGTTACTTTTAATGTTTAATGTTAATGTCTGCACCATACGCACAGCTAACACACATAGACACTAGGGACGTATGCAGAGATGTTCAGGTTTTAGTATGATTTTCAATTCTGAGATCAACATTCAATTCGGTTTTCCATATTTTATATCTTTGATGACTTGGTTTTCACAAAAGATGATCAACAAGAGACCATGGAAGGAAATTAAGGAGAGTTTCTTCTATATGTTTGTAAGTTTGATCAACTGTTTTTGATATGTCTTCATTAGACATTGTCAGACCCTTAATGCTAAGAATTTCCATTGTTTTTTCGAGAATTATGCAAAGTGCAGTCACTGAGATGTGTTACTGTGTTATTCAGAAGTGGACTTGCCCACAAGAGGAACCTTTACTAGGAACCTGTGGAACGATATTTCATAAACTAGGCTGTGTTGACACTCTGTCATTTTACCACAGTTGAGGGCCGTCTTAAAGTGCTAGTTGCCTCACTTTTGATCTGCGCCTATCTCAGTACAGTACATGCTTTTTTTTGTCCAGAATGCATCAA